TCGCACAGCCTGATCTTCATCCCGGCCGCTGAGTAAGTCCGCGTCCCCGTGCCATGCGTGTGAGTGCACTCCTCGGGGCTGCGCGGGTAGGTGTTCATCTGTAGCCCGGCCATGGCTGTCATGGCCGCCTGAGTCGTCATCATCGTCACCGCCGAGCCGGGCTCCATGTACACGGCGAGGATCCGGTCCTTCAGGTTGGGCCTGAGCGTTGCGGCCGAGTAGTAGAGCACTGCCTGCTGCGTCGTGTAGATGAACTCCTCCAGGTGGTGCATCAGGTCGCGCCAGCGAAGAAGCCATTCGGGCGGATTCCCCGACCGGTGGCGGGCCTGAGTAGGCATTCGGTTGCCTGGGCGCTAGATGCAAATCTGCAATGGCTGTAAGCCTCGCTCTGCCGGGTGGAAAAGCATTGGGGTGGCTTGCATCGGGCGGTCCATGTCTACCGTACTTCTTGAAAGGGAAGTCTCCTGGCCACTCGAACGGCTCCTCAGGCCACTCGTCAATCTTCATGCACAGGTGACCACAAGGACTCAAGTACAACTCAGTAGACTTGCCGCCGAGCGCTCTGAAACGGATTTTCCCCTCCAGGATGTCCGGCACTGCTCCCAAAGCCTCCATGGTTGAACGTGACAACAATCCCGGTGCGGCGGAGCATACTTCGCTTATCCCCAGTGCCACCATCTCCCCCGCAATTCCCGCCGGATACATCCACCTCCCCTGGCTTGGCGTTCCTTCCGTAGGACCAAAGGAGAACTTGCAGACTTCGGGGAAACGCAGGGGCTTCAAAGACGAAAGCTCGGCTTGGTGCTGCTGATGCCACAAACTCCCAGCTACTTGACGCTGACATCCAGTATCCGCGATCAGGAAGGTAGCATCGGAACACGAACTCAGCAACACACTCGGAGGCCTGGGTATCTCATACACGAAAGACTCCTTTTCTTCACCGGGCTCGATCAAGCTTGAGGTCATCCAGGAACCAAACACGGGTGAGCCCTCTGGGTCCAACTCCATGTCGGCTGAAGCCATCTGAGCCTGAAAATTCGTGACATGAGGGCAGTCGCGGATCCAGTGGTCAGCGGAGCCGCAGCCAAGGCAAAGGGATCCACGAAGTCGCTGCTGACGGTCCTGACCATTTCCAGACTTGCCACCGCCCTTCCGAGCGGGAGCCTTTCCTTTGGAGCCGCCACGTCCCTTGCTTTTGGCCTTCCCTTTGCCACCCTTGCCCTTGTCCCCGCCGTGTCCTTTGCCCGAGCGACCCTTGCCCTTGGCGTCGACGTTGTAGAAGCCGCGACCCTGAACCAGTCCTGCCAGCTTCTTAGAAGTCACGGTGAGGGCCTGGGCAGCGGCGACAATAGCGGCAGCAGAGTCATCTACTGCAGAGTCCTCCTCTGGAGGTTCCTGTCCCTCGTCGGGAACAAGCTCTTCTTCATCATCGCCAGCATCATCATCCAGCGCATTGGGCTCATCTTCAGCCAGGTACTCGCCCTGGTCTCCTCCATCGACCTCGCCCTCGTACTCATGCGGTTCTTCTTCAAGTACTCCCTCGTCCCACTCAGACTGCCAGTGTGTCCACTTAGTAGGGCGACTCTGCCGGGAAGTCCTCCGGGAGCTTGCCGTCGAAGACGATCGCCACGAAGAGGAGCGAGAGGATGTAGAAGGGGTCCTGGCCGATCTTACGGACAAGGTTGCCAAACCCTTAGGAAGCCCTGTGATGCTCATGCCCGGCGGATACTGGATGCGAAGTGCTTCCAGCACGCTGGTCATCTCGTACTTGTTTCCTGCCGCCAGCAAGACAGCTGCCGTCGCCTTCTCGTCCAAGCAGAGGCCGTCCAGCAACTTAATCACCCTGGCCTGCTCCGGGTACGATGGCACCTTGTTGTCAGAGAGTTTTCTTTCCAGGAGCCTGAAGCGACGGATGAAGGCGGTGATCGATTCGCCCTGCATGCGTCCCACGCTTTCAAACTCCCGGATAACGCCGCCTTGACGGAAGATCTCCCTCTCCCCGAAGGCCTTCTCGAGGTCGTCGAGGAGCCGCTGTATACCTTCCTTGTGATCAAAACGAGCGTCATCGACCTCCTCGAACTCCAGCTCGGCCTCGCCCTGAAGCTGTTCTAAAGCTCGTAGCGCTTGTTCATTTGGAGGAAGGTACTCACGGGTTATGCGAACCCACCGCATGAGCCTCCTTCGGTAGTGTCTCATGCAGTAAGGATTGCTTTCCACGTCGCCGTCGAAGGAAGGGGCCGAAGGTACTTGCCCGGATCTCCATCTCTTCTCGTCCTGAGGTTTGCTGCCGGGCCCAGAGCCACCTCGGGAACCTCTTTTTCGTAGTCTCCCCTGGGGCAAAGCCACACCAGGGTCAGCCGCGCCGGTGCCAACCGAAGCGGCATCGTCGTCAAGCTCAGCGCTCTCGGCGCTCTCTTCTTCGGCGTCGACCGCGCCAGGAAAGTCGAACAGGTCATCGTCGAATCGGAGATCAGCCATCAGAATTAGGTAGAGGTATCCTAACCCTGCGTCGCTACCAATGCGATCTTAGTGCAGTTACACGAACAGTAGTGGAGCCTGGATCTTAGGACAACCCCTACGAGTGCAATGCAAAGGCTCTTTCTCAGTGCGCACACCCTCCGCTGTGAGCCTCCGGGCGTGCGGTCGCATGATCTCGATGGCTTGTGAACCTGGGCACTGGACCTTAAGTTTAGCACCGGTTTATCTTTACAAAGCCTCGAGATCACTTCGCTCGCCATGCAGCGTTTGCATCAGCACCCGTGACTAGGTCGCCTGGTGCTTTGCTATCTACCAAAGTGACGAACGGCTCTGCCATCCATCGACGGAAGGTATCCCTCAAGAGCCTCGAACGCTTCGTCATGCAGTCAGCCTTCATCTGCTCTGTTGGAACCCATCTCAGTCCACGACATTGCTGACGCAGGGCAGCGATGTCTATTTCCACACGCTTCTCCGTGAAGCTTGTAGACAGGCGATGGATAGCGTCCCATAGCGACCTTGCGTCCGTGACGGGGACAACTTCCACCAGGGGCCTCTCGTTCATGGTGGCCACGTAGTCGGCCTTGATCATTTCGCTCCAAACCATAGCCATGAACCGGGCGTGGTCATAGGCTCGGTCCAGGGCTGACGCTTCCGCAGCCAGAGTGCTCCGCAGAACTCGTTGGTGGCGGTAGCTTTTCCAGTCAACCAGCGACGCGGCTCGTGGCTGCGTGAGTGCCTCCTGATCGGTGATCGTGATCACCAAGCCACCCTGGGATTTGTTGCCAGGAGCGTTCGCAAAGCCGCTGTCTCCGTAGGCCACGAAGATGAGCTTCTCGGGGTCCACCGGGGCAAACTTTTCGCAGGAGTCCGCCGTGGCGCGAACATAGCGCAAGACCGCGTTCACCTCCTTCAGGTCCGCCACTGTGAGGTCCTTGGGTGACTTCTGCAGTAAGCTGGTGTCCGCTGCTATGTCACCTCTCGTCGTCCCAGCAAGCCACTGCAACGATCCAATACCGGAACGGAATTCGGTGACGAGCTCCGGGCGGTCGTGCAGCAAGATGCCGTCGTCCAGCTTGACCTTAGTAGCCGGGACTTCGTTGACGTAGGAAGCCTGGTCCAGCGTGATGCTGCCATCGGGCCACTGCTTGATGTGCCTGCCCACAAATGTAAACTCCCCGGAACACCAGGGTGAGCCCCAAGTGAAGTGGCTCTCCACCTTATTGAGCGTTTCCTCGAAACCGGCAAGGGCTCCACCAATCAGGTCGTCGACGTGGATGCCCAGGAGAGCTACGACCTTGTCGCCATTCCGCTGCATGAACAGACATGGATCAAGAGAGTGCTGGGTCCAGCCGAGTTTCTTCAGGACCCGAACAACATGGTTGAACCATTGTCTCGGCGCATTCGATTGTCCGTATACCGGGGCAGACAACCGATACAGTAGCCGAGCATCGCTCCACTGAGGTACCGCTTGAAGGGCAACGGGATCCTGGGGAGGTCGCATGTAAATGGCCTCTGGACGTTCTGTATCAGGATCTCCTTGTAGAAAGGCTGAGCGACAATCAGCATTCCAAAGCAACACCCGAAAACTGGCCGACCATTGTAGCAAGAGGTGCAGCGAAGTTCTTGCTAAGACAGGGGCATCACGGGTAAGCAATGGCAAGTGCGGGTCGCGGAAGCCCGCGATCACGATTCTCGCCTTAGCCTTCTGGCCTTCGGGCACCGGTTTCCATCTGTAGCAGACCCTGCTTTTCAGGATAAGATGAGGTGCCACCTCTCCTGGAGCCACACTAACAGCCTTGCAGCTGCTCCATCGCTCCCATTCCGACCACTCCTTCTTCAGGGCCTCGACGAAGGGCTCGACTTCCTCCGGACTCATGGATTTCCAGTGCACCTCCTTCTTGCGGGCCTGCTGGGCTGCGCGCTTGGCCTCGAAGGTGCCGTCCTCTCCCTCGCTCTCAGACGAGGATTCCATGGCGACCACCTTCTCCGTCTCGGTGGACGCGCTGGTCTGGGCTTTCGTAGGATAAGCCTGAAACACCGGGACATAGGACGGGGCCTTGGAGTCGTCGACGGTCTCGGAACTCGCTGAAGTGGAAGTCAGAAATGACACCTTCCTTGATGAAGGGGTAAAGTTGAGCTTCTTCAGGTAGTTCAGGTGGTCCACGGGCGCGATGTCGGCGTTGCGGGTCTGGTACGCGGTGATAACGTAGCGCTCGCCCTGGAACTTGTCCGAGCCATGTAGCCGATCAGGCTCGAAGCTGGTGAGGTTGCGATGGGTGTCGTAACGAAATCCCCAATGTCTTTGTCCTCCAAAGCTCCTTTGCTCGCAGTTCTCGGCGATGATCTCATTCTCGGGGAGCTCCACCCACAGGTCTCCAACCACATGGTCGCCGAAGGTGACATGCCAGTTCAAACTGCCCTTGCTGTTGTGTACATCGCGGTGGAGCGAACTGGTTGTGTTGCGGGCGATGAACAAACTGCTGATAGGGCCTCGAGCTCCGTGACTCTGCAGGTACTTGTTGAGGTACTTGGTCAGGTGGCCGTGTGCATGTGTTGCTCTGGTCACGCCCATGTGGTTGCCGTGGCTATAGTACCCGAGGGTGAGAGATCCAGAATGGGGTCGCCGGTAAGCCAAACAGCGTCGGTCTGGGGGCTTCATGTCCACGACCTCGAGGAGCTGCTGGCAGGAGTCATGACTGTAGTCTTTCCGCCGGAGAAGCAACCGCGCGAGCTGCTCAGAAAGTGCCGTCTTGGTGGTAGTAGTCGCGGACGTCGTTAAAGCCTGAAGCTCCATGCGTTGCTTTCTTGAGCTAGTGTCTTCGACCATAAGCTCAGGGATCACATGGTGACAGGCCGTGAGAAAGGCGTCGTACTGGTAGATCGGCGGTGTTTCGCTGGGCACTCCATCCCAACCTTGCCGCAGATGCTGTCCTCGTGCATGGCGGCGTAAAACATCTAGGCGGTGCATGCCTGTAGAAGAAAAGGTGGTAGAAGACGTGAGTGTCGCGGAGGTTCCCGGTGTCTGGTAGTAGTCCAACTCGTCCCGCAGCTCAGGCCCGTACTCGAGAGGCTGTGTCTTCCTGCGCTCAAAGGGAACGCCCACCAAAGCATCAAAGGCCTCTCTTTCCTTGACCTCGTCCAGCCACGAGACCACTTCTCGCGGGTTGTTCACCGGGTGACTGCCTCCGCATCGTGGACACTGCTTGGGAAAAATGCGGTACTGCTCGCCGCAGTCCTGACAAAATACTAGATGAGCCGTTGGCTCAAGCTCACAAAGCGAAAATCTCACTGCCATTGAAGAGCTGGAAGCTGCTGCCGGTTTATCTTTACGAGGGAAAGCCCCCCCCAACTCCTCAATGCCAACATTTGGGGCGCGCTTGACACCACGAGCATCTGGAACCTGGGACTCAGCTATGCGTTCAAGGGGACCAACCTGCTGCGATGTCTGTCGGGAAAATGGCCTGGTAGAAGACGCTGTAGACAATCTACGGCTATTGCCAAAGGACCCAGGAAGTGCACGTTCTGAAGGGGGATCTTGTCCGGGTATAAAAGTCCGATCTGATCCGGACACTGGTGGTTCTGGTAGCTCAAGGGACCCAGGAAGTGCAAGATCTGAAGGGCGTCGATCTTGTTCGGGTAGTCCGGGCTTGTCTCGCACCGCCGATCGTGACCTGGCTCGGGTTCGCGGGGTGCCGGGCGTCGATCTCGGAGTAGGCGGTGCGACCATCATCGGGCTAAACATGGGTGCTTCAGCAGAGATTGGATTGCCAGCTGGGTCCAGCACCGTACGGGCATCGTCTTCATTCTCCGCCGGCAGGTCGGCTTCTGCGTGAGGGCGCGCTGCCGCATGTTCATGCTCCAAGTCTCGAAGCACTCCACGATCGACCTGAGGAGCTGGACGGGCTGAAGGCGTGCGAAAAGCACGCGGATGGATGCGCAACTCCTCGTCACAATTTTTAAGCACCTCCAGGTCCGAAGGATCGGGCGCCCACCACTCTTGCTCACCACAAACTGGACGGCATTGCTCGGGAGAACATTGCACCAGACGGCCGCGATCATTGCGAAGCCAAATGTTCACGGCCACGTTGGAGCTGGGGTTGCGATCGAGGGCCAACACCACCCCTTGTCTATAACCCTCAGCGGTTCCTTCCCCGTCGCCGGTAGCAGTGCGCATGCGGTAATACGCCACTTTCTGTCCGGGGTAGAAAGCACCGCGATAAGGTCGGCTTTTCCGAAGAAGTGCTGCCCGTAGTGCTTCGTGGGCTTCATACGTATGATGATTACGCATTGCTTCGGTTCTGACAGCCTCGATTTGCATAAGTCTCGTGCTGTCATTGACCAACTGCGCGGCCTCGATGGAGCCACCGTCACTAAGGAGGGCGGCTGGAAGCTTTTGATCGCGTCCATATACCCATTGGGCGGGCGAGCTTCCTGATCGCCGCACCAATCGGTTCTTGGCATAGCATGCCATGATGACACACAAGTTGACTTCAGGCACTGTGAGGGCAGCGAACTGGTGAATGAGCCGGCGCACGTTGTACTTGAGGGCCTGTCCGTGGCGTTCAGCTTTCCCCAATTGCCAATGGCTGTCTGGCGGTACACACCGCACTGCCACGTTGAGCTGGGCATGGAGATTTTCGAATCGCATGCCCCGGAAAGCTCCTTCAGCGTCAATGGCCATTTCGTCAGGAGGTCCGAAGTACTGGAACCAACCCCCGACCAAAGTCGCAATGACGCAGTCCTCGGAGCGGCTCTGGAGCCGAGGAGCTACTTGGTAGCATGTCGCGTCATCAACCAGATTGAGGAAGACGTGAGTGCCGCCACGAATGTCCTTGACATAGATCACATCGGCACACAACCTGTCATTGAAGCGTCTCGCCTGAAAAGCCTTAGAGACACGTGGTTGATGAGGAGGACTCACTCTCAAGCATGTCTCACAACGTAGAGCTCGGGCTCCTTTCAGCGCGATGTCGCTCGCGCCAGCTGTTGCCAACTGGCGAACCAGCACCTCCCGGGGAGGGTGCCCTAAATTCGTGTGCACTCGCCGTAGAACTTGTTGCACCCAGTCGGGAATGTTGGCCCCGGGGAAGGAGATATCGCGATATCCCGGTTGATGCGGTTTCATCTGGTCCTCCGCGTCCGGCTGCGCAACATCGTTCTGTGGGCGAGGAGCTTCAGGCTGTAGATTTTGTTCGGGATTCAAGGACGTGCTAGGGGCATCGCCGTAGAAGTACACGGCTACTCGCACCGGTTTGGGATATCTGCTCGAGGGGGATTCCAGGATAGAGGCCACAGCCTCGGCCTCGATGGACACGGTGCCGTCGTTGAACAACAAGGCGGCCCCTCTGTGTTGTACACCTTCAAGAAGCACATCCTGTGGAAGGCGGCGCTGCTTTGGCGCCCGGAATATCTGTAGCTTCTTGAGCTTCCAGGGCACCAGGGCCTTGACCTGCTCATAGAAAGGTGAGGGCTTGATGGTCACCGAGCTCGTGGTCATACTCTTCAGTCGTCTTTCTGCCTCCTCCAGCAGCGGCTGCCAGGACTCATGATGCCGACTCACGTCGAGAAAGTAGACCCTGCAGCGTAGTTCACCTGGGGGCTCCCACACGTTGTCGAACTCCGCGTCTGCGAGGTCGTAGTGCATGTCGTTAATCCACGGGACTGGGTCATCCGGAAGCGAGGCCTCGGAAGTCCAGCTTTGACACCATCGTTCATCTCCTTCCCGCTGGAGAGCTTGCACCAATCCATTCACACACGCTTTTGCCAACTCCCGGGTGTACACCTGGGCCTTGCGGGTGTTGTTACTTCCCAGGCATTGTCCATGTTCGTGGTTGCCGGGGCAAGACACGCACAACTGGGCCAGCACCTCTGGCACACTTCCCAGCCAACCCGTAGGCTTCTTGAGTAAATGGCCCTGCGCATCTCGTAAGTTGAAGGCACACATGCAACCCTCACCCAGTTGAACTCCCGGGAGGCCTCGAAGCCGTCGAAGCTCCGGGGTTTCCCAGAACGGCGTGTGGAGCGGGTTCTCCCGCAGAAAGTGGATGCCGCTCTGGTAGAGGGACTGGATAACCTTACACATGGATGCCACCGACTTTCGTTCTCGCTGTCTAAGACGATCCAAGTCCTCGGGGGAGCGGTTAAGGTACTGGAGGTTCGACCACAAAGTACAGCGAGGCTCCCAGATCACCAGATAAGGTCGGCGTAGACGAAGTAGTTCCTCGAGGTTCTGGAAGTCCTGCGACCCGTTGAGCTTTTGGCCATAGACCTCGTCGATGGGCTGAAGTGCACGAAGACCTGTGCGCAGAGCCTCCTGGGTGATGGCGGCTTCACCTCCGAAGATCTCCACTAAGTCCGTGCGATATTGTGACGTACCCTGCGACCTTGCCGAACACGTTGTTCATATAGCCGTTGTTCCACGGACCACACATCGAAGAGCGCCTTGGCTGCACCGGCCAAGCGCTTCCGTTGGCCTGACTTCAGGGCAAAGCATCCGCGATCCTCGGGACCGAGAGGGAAGTCTGCCGAGCCAGTGGGGTGCAGAGCGGGTGGATTGTCCTCCGCTTCCTCTTCACTCACAGATTTCGTGGCATGTCCAGGGCGTCGTCCTCGTCCCAGTCGTCCCTGGCCATGCGTTCCTCCCAGTAGTTCGGATCGTCGTCCTGGCCGTCCCCCAAGTAGAAGTCCTGCGCTATGGCAATCTCCTCGGCGTTCATGTACCCGCTGTTCGGGTTCGCGGCCTCGTCGCGAACTTGTCCTCGTCCGTGAGTCTTCCTGGTCCAGCGAGCCTCGGAGTTCACGCTCATCTCGTCCGAGCTGGCCACGGATGGAGCTGCCGAGCGGTTGCCGCCGTGCCATTGTCTCGGTGGCATTCGTCGCTGTCCATGCATCCGGAACTTCATCGGCATCTGACTCGGACTGAGCTCCCTCTGTCGTGGAGGAGGCGGCGGGGCCTTCGAAGTTGGCAACGGCGCCGGCGAGCAGGCCGATGAGAGCAGTGACGACCCTGCCGAACCTCCATGAACTCCCACCTTTGCCTTTGCTTTGGGAGGCTTGCTGTCGAGGAGCTTCTGCTTCTGCACGTAGGTGAGGCCCATGGGCGTCTTGGCGTTGGGATTTGCCTTGGGAGTGGCCGGGAGCGCCTCGCCCTTGGCCGCTGTCGCACAGCCTGATCTTCATCCC